GCGGAGCCAGCTGTGGGAGTCTGCTGTTCATTGGGGTGGGGGTGGGGTTGTGGCTGGTTGGGAGCCCCCAACCAGCATGGAGCCTGGGGCAGCTGCCCTGGTTGCCCATTGGCTAACACCGTCCGTGTTAAACAGAAGAGAAGGAAGAGACCAGGGAAGTGAGAGGATGACCAAGATTATTTCCAAGATACTGTTTGCTAAGGGAGACAGCTCTGATTAACTTGGTAGAAGGAGGAGAGGAAAACTTTAAATCTGTGAAGGGCAGAAGGGCTGTGAGAAGACCAAGCTGCCTGCCATGTGGAGTCTTTGAACACACATGAAGCTGCCAGTTTGGTGTAGTGGTTAAGTGCGCGGACTCTAATCTGGGAGAACCGGGTTTGATTCCCCACTCCTCCACTTGCACCTGGCTGGATGACCTTGGGCAAGCCGTAGTTCTCATAAGAGCTGTTCTTGAAAAAGAGCAGTTTTTGTCAAGAGATCTTTCAGCCCCACCTACCTCACAGGGTGTCTGTTGTGGGGAGGGGAAGGGAAAGGAGTTTGTAAGCCGCTCTGAGACACCTTTGGGTAGTGAAGGGCGGGGTAGAAATCCAATCTCTACTTCTTCTCTTCCTGTTTTCTTCTCTCCTTCTCAACCTAACTTCATTTGCCGTCATCTTCAGCTTTCTCTCATTCGCTCCCCTGGCAGCATCTCCCTGGGAAAGCTCTAGGCCACCAGTGCAGCATTGGGCCCATTTGAATGGCAGGGAACCTGCAAGTACTTATACTTTCTAGGGTTGCCAGGTCCCCTCCTTGCTCCAATGGGATTTAAGGTGGGGGATGTCCCCAAGCCTCCCCCCAAGCTCCATCCCCAAGAATGACCACCCACCATGCCACCCCTCTTGCTCCCCTCCTGTTTGATTGAAAGGGCTTCAGCTAATCAGCGGGGACCACACGGCCCGCTGATCAGCTGGAGGGCCCTTTAAATCTAGCAGGAGGGAGAGGGGCAGTCATGGGCTGCATGCTCAGCTCACAAAATGACCCTTTAAAGAGTCTTTGTGAGCCAAGCATGTGGCCCACAACCACCCCTCTTCCTCCTGATAGTTTTAAAGGGCCCTTCAGCTGGTCAGCGGGCCAAGTGGTTCTTGCTGATCAGCTGAAGCTGTTTCAATCAGACAGGAGGGCAGGGAGAGGGGTGGTCCGGTGGGCAGCCATTCTTGGGGGCGGGGCTTTCCCCACTGGCCAGCTGGCTGGGGGCAGATTGAACCCCCCCAGAAGCAGGTGAACCCCCACCCAGACCTGGGGGCTGGGCAACCCTAATATATCCCCTCCCCACCCTCTTTCCTCTTTCACTCCTCCTAGCAACCCCAAACCTCACTTTTCTTTGTTTACATCTTCCTTCCCACCCAGCCACCAACCTGTTTATCTGCCCCTCATCGTCAGCTGTATTATTTATTTACTTCATTTATACTGAACCTTACTCCCCAGTGAGAACAAAAGCATCTTACACCATCCTCCTCCATTTTATGGTCAACCCTGTGTGGTTGGTTCCACCAAGAGGGTGTGACTGGGCCAGGGTCACCCAGTGAGCTTTCATAACAGAGTCACCCAGTGAGCTTTCATAACAGAGTGGGGATTCAGACTTGGGTCTCCTATAACAGCAAGCTGCGAAGCCTGTGTGAGTCATGAAAGTTATGTGGTAGCAAGTTGCCCTTCCTGATGAGTCCTCCCTCAAAGGACAAAACAGCCCCAGAAAGGACTCTGCTTCTCCTCGCTTCCCCTGCCTTTTACCAACAGAAACCAAGCCTTGAAGCCCGTGTTTGCCTAGCAACCCCCCTCCCGCCACTGTCAGGGCACTCATTTCTTAAAGCTAAGAGCTCTGCTTTTATTATGGGGGGTGTGTGTGTTAAGCCTCCAATTAAGATTTCAGATTTTTCAGCAAACTTGAGGTTTTTCTCAGGTTTGTAAATAGATCTGTCTTGTCTGTTCACAGTCCAGTCTCTGGATTTAAGTATCCACAGATTGATATACTGATAATGAGAAGCACTTTTCACAGCACATTCTAAAACGATTTTCCAGTTAAACTGAAGAAGAATGGTTAGCTAGGAAACAATTACATCACAGACTAGTGGTGCTCTTGAAAACTGCACCAGTTTAATTGCAAACTGTGCTGTCACTAGTCCAAGCCTGGTGGCCATTTCCAAGAAATGTCAGTGACTGTTTTACTACATAATTATATCTTCTATTTCAGATGCTGGACAACTTGATATAATGCTACTCAGTACACCATTGGAAAGTGCTATAACAGAGCTGGGCTGAGATCGATTTTGCATGGATAAACAAATGACCCACACAGAAAATAGTTGACAATATTAAAGTCCTTTAGAATCACTTGAAGCTTAGCAACACTTTAAGGTTAAGAAAATTTATTTCAAGCAATACAACATTCTATACACACACACACCAATTCCATAGGAAAGGTTATGCTGACATTAGTTCACATAAGGTATTATTATTCTAAAACATATTTTGGATCGGTGACATAAATCATCATAGATTCAGGTGGGTATCTGTGTTGGTCTAAGGCAGCAGAATAAAGTTTGAGTCCAGTGGCACCTTTAAAAACAAGTTTTATTCAAGGTATAAGCTTTCATGTGTAAGACTGTATCTGAGGAAGTGTGCTTGCACACAAAAGCTTATACCTTGAATAAAACTTTATTGGCCTTAAAAGTGCCACTGGACTCAAACTTTAGAAATCATCATGTTTAAATGGTAGAGGAAAATGTATCAGGAAACGAGCCACTTGATCAAAAGTAACATCTTTAATAACATAAAGTCAGCCTCAGCTGAACAAGTGAGTCACATAAAAACACACTTCAGCAAGATATCCAAAGAGTGCTGAAAACATTGTCAAACACCCATAAGGAGCAATCCTAAGTAGGTCTACTCAGAAGTAAGCCCCATCATATCAAATGGACTTTTCTCCTAGGAAAGCATTTTTAGGATTGCAGCCATAGACACACAAACAGATGCAGAAGTGCAGATCATATAAATTAAGCTACCTGTAGATCTAGCTGTAGGGAACTGGGAAACTCTGATGTGGGGAACAATACAGGGACCTTCTCTCTGAGACTTCAGTACTCATTTCAAACTAATTTTATCCTATAGTATACCATATTAAAGGAAATGCTAAAATTCCCGTATCATTCTCCCAGTCTGTTGTCATATGAATTTCTAAAAAACTGTCTCTTTTATCTTTGAATACAAACGTAAAAAATAAAAGCTGACTCCCTCCCTCCCTCCCTCCCTCCCTCCCTCCCAACAAATGTGGAATCATCTTGCCATCTTCCTTCCATTTCCTCAGTGTCAAAGTCATAGTCTTTCCTTCAAACTGAGGCAACTATGAATTTTGCCCTCTTCTCATTTCTCCCATCTCCTTAATCTCAACCTTCTTGTACTTGCCAGAGCTCCGCCTCCTGGTAATCACAAACACAGTAATCCCAATGATAATGGCCAAAATGACCACCACCACCACAGCAATAATGCCAGGTGTCAAGCGTTGCATAGAGAACTCTGCTGGTTTTTCATCAACATAGTAGATAAGGATTTCTTCAATATCAAGAGGTTCCTCATTGACAGAGAGATTAAACATGCCATGACGAAAAACAGAGTCACCCTTCATGTCTTTTTCAAAGTAATAGGCTACATCTGCTATATCGACATCTTCATGAGACTTCTGGGTAGCATTCTGTTTCAAGTCAATATGGATGAATGGGGAGTCATACTCAATAGCTGTGATGTAATGTTGTTGGAGCTTGTATCGATTCTGAATGAGCTGTCGGAGACTGTTCGCCAATTCATGCTCAGAGAAGGAGCCTTCCCTCTCTTTGTGTTTCAGGTTAATGAAGATCCAGTTTGTTCTGACAAGCTCACTGCATTTCATGCTTTTATCCCCCTTATCCGTTCTCCTTACTCCAGCAGAGTTCACACACCAACAAGTGTCTGTCTGGTTGCATTGCCTTGCCTTGAAGTTGCCGTTGTCATCACAGTCGGGGTTGTAAAGTCCATCATTGTCCGGAATGGCACCTTCTGGCTTTTGGAAGCTCCTTTTTGTTGCGGGGATAATTTCTGCTTTCATCAGTAGACATTTAGAAGTTAGTGTAGTACAATCCACTAGCTGATTGGAACCTACTGCTCTGCATTCGCAGTTAGAAAATTGGTTCCTGTTACAAACAGTCTGTTTATTTGTTTCACAAATGCAGGCATCCTGAGCTGCTGATGCCGTCACTAGTATCAGAAACAGTGTAGCCCCCAAAAGAGACTCCATGGGTTTGGATAGGAAGAGCAGAAGTCTTTAGTAAAAGACAAATGGATATAGCAGCCTGAAGACGAGATCCGTCCACGGCAAGAATCTCCTGGTTTCTGTGTGGCAGGGTGCGGCTCCCTCTCTTTGTAAACTAACATCGGACTTGCCTGACCAGTTTAACAGGTGACTCACAATCAAGAGGCCTATGGTGACACAGTAAACCCACAGAGGAGCAACTGCACTGCACCTTTTCCAACTATGATCTTAGGGAGTGGCAGCAACGCTTCAATGCCTGCCTTTCTTTCCACCCACTGAATGAGGAAGCATACCATGCAAGAAACACAGAAACCAATACCAAATTAAGCCCTTGCAAATAGAAACGTGCCTCCCTCATGGACTGAAGCCTAAGTGTCAGATTACCTACCTAATGTCTGACCAAACCCCACCCACCCTCTTTCTGTCTGCTTCCTGCATATGCACAGCCACATGAGATGGCCCTATGGTCCTAACAGATATGGGAGAGAAACACCAGCCCCAGTGGTCATTGCTCATGGTGGTTAGATTTGGGAGAGGAAGAGAAAGAACACAATAGTTCTTTTTGAGAATGTATTACATGATGGAGCAGAGACTCTATGAATCAAGGTAAAATGCTGGAGCATCACTATATTTATCCTACCAAACTACAGTGCCATTAGGAGAGCCATTAGGAGAGGCCTTAAACCCTGAACCAATTGTAAGACTAGTACTTTATATCTGAATCTGGTGTCCCAAATGCTGGTATCCAACACAGTTACACTTAGTGCCTTACTCTAATGAGAACTGTGCTATGAGCTAATACGTACATTCATCAGGGAATAAGATCTGATGCCGTTTCCTACTGAGTGTACAGACACTAGCAAAGCACAGAATATTGTGTGAACTGATCCTTTCAATGCCAGCTGACATGTGGGGAATGGCACTTCAATGAACATTAATCTCTACTGTGTCACATCTCTTTGAGATCTACTGTCCAGCAATGGAAAGTTTATCTAGTGCAAACTTTCAGAAAATCTGTGTTATTAGGTGAAAGACATTCCAACATGGTGAGGAAGTATCTGTTATAGTTTCTTCTTCTATTCCAGCCAGACTAGAGATGAGCCAAGAGATTAATCATTCAGATGTTCCACCTTCTTTTAAAGAGGAAACCTTGTGCCATTTTCCTTGAGCAAATTGCTTCTGTGGAACTAGTTGCCAAATAGGGAGAAAATACAGGTATTCCTATTATCTAGATCCTTTTTAATCTTTAACCTATGGTTGCAACTTAGATTGCTTTCACCACACTGGTGGATGGCCTGTATTAAGAACTGAACAGAGGGAGTACATTCCTGTTGGTTCTTCTGGACCTCTCATCAGTTTTAGATAACATTGGCCATGGTATCCAGACCAGGATGGAATTAGCAGGCATGATGTTATGGTGATTCCAGTCCTTTATGGGTGTAGATTGCTGGAAATGGTACCGTCCATGGCTTTTAAACTATGAAGGATGAATCTGCAAGGTTCCATCTTGTCTTCCTTCCATGCTGTTTAATATCTATATATTATATAGCTACATATCTAACTGCTAAGGGAAATTAGAGATGTGGACCTTTATCAGTAGTATCTACCTCTGGTGTTTATCTAATCCCAGGGAAACAGCTGAGGCCCTGAGCTACTATGGGAGCGTAATGATGGATAGGATGAGGAATAATGAACTAACATTCCAGACAAGAGGGAGATGCTCTTGGCTGAAAATCTAAATATGGAGAAGGTATATTACTTGTGTTGCATGAAGATGAACCCCCCCCCTCACAATTTGCAGATTGGAGGGTATTCTTGCATCCAACATGGTCCCGGGATGGTCAGGTGGTAGCAGTGAACAGAGTGCTTTTTACCAGCTAATGGCTGGTTCACCAGCTGTGCCATTTTCTTGAGGAAAAGAATGTAGTCTTAGCAGTTCATGTTGTACTGACTTCTCAATTACCGTGTTCTGAAAGTATGAGGCAGCTACAGTTGTTTTGACATATGGCAAATACTCAGAAGTGATATCATGTTACTGGCGTGATGACAAGGTAATGCGTTGGGATTTGGCCAAAACTCTGTGGTTCTTCCCAAATCCAAATGCATCACCTTGATGTCACACCAGTGATGTTATGTCAGTTCCAGGTATTCACCGGAAGTGATGTGGCCCCACCAGCACTGTGCCATTTGTAAAAAACATTTTCCTCCTGCAGGCCCTTAGCAGGCCAGTGGGCAACAAGAAGTGGAAATGGGAGGTATCCCTATTATAGGTCCAGATAAATTGCAATCAGGATAAATTGCAAGAAAACTATAGCTGTGAGTCTATAAGAAAGTATTAACTCAACCCCACCATCACCACCCTGCAACAAAACCACTGATGGTAAGTATCACGGACTGAGAGATATGCAAGAGCAAGGACTTATTGACATGCAGTGTTGTTTAACTGAAGAAATGGCTGCAGCAGCACTCACTAAACCATTATGCAGAGAGAGTCATAGAAATTCCTAACAAAAATGAATATAGCATAGTACCATGCCATTGAGAAGGGGCGCTGGAGAAGCAACAGCACGTGATCAGTTTTATTAAACTGTAACATTCTCTGTGTTCAAAGCCTACTGAAACCGTCTCTTGTTTTCACTCTGCCTCTTGTGCTTCTCCTCTGCCTGTAAATTTTTGTATCCTGAACACCTTTCTGCTGTTGGAAGGTCTGCAGTTAGGTGGTCCTGTTGTTGCAGTAAATTTTACTGAAAGCAACTCTGCGTGTTTGGGACTGAATTATTCCGTGCTTGGGACTGAATTATTTCCCCAGCTCTGCTAACAGGTTATGCATGATAAGGCGTTCTCAGCTGTGGCACCAATACTGTGGAACTCATAAGTCATTTAGCCTCCTCATTATTGAACCTCAGATGACAAGTCTGCTTGTTTTGATAGATTTGGTTTTCTCTGCTGTTTTGATCTGTTTGCTTGTTTATTAATTTATTTCATTGTGTTTTTATGTACTTCTAGGCCATCTGCAGAAATCTTGTAGACGATGGAGTGGAAATATTTAGCATGCATATTTTCCCACATGGAATAAACAATGGATCAAGAGGGAATTGGGGGGGGGGGGGAATGGCATGAGCAAGAGAGTGAATCCCCTCCTTGCCAGCTGTACAGCCTACTTATCTTCCAATAGCTGCATTTCACAAATTCCAAGAAATCCTAATCAAGGAACTCCCAGCATCACATGCCGTTAAACCCTTAGTATCCGGATTTCTTGGTATTTTGCTGTGATCGTCCAAACTTGTTATATGTGGAGAATACATTGATGAGCCTAGATTTGATTTGTAGCCCCCACCCAATGTCAGTGTCTAGTTTATTACAATTAGTTTGAGCTATTCTTTTCAGTGATAGGGCTGCGGTGGCTCAGTTGTTAAGAGACTGAACTGCAGACCAGAAGTTCAGCAGTTCGAGACCAGAGTGCCTCATGACGGAGTAAGCTCCTTTCTCTGGTCCCAGCTCCTGCCAATCTAGCAGTTCGAAAGCAAGAAACTGCAAGTAGATAAATAGATACCACTTCGGTGGGAAGGTAACAGCGTTCCGTGCACCTTGGCGTCTAGTCATGCCGGCCACATGACCACAGAAATGTCTTCGGACAGCGCTGGCTCTTTGGCTTGGAAACAGAGATGAGCACTGTGCACTAGAGTTGGATTCGACTGGCTCTGACTGGCTTTCGAGCAAGGGAAACCTTTACCTTTATTCTTTTCAGTAGGGTGAAATGACTTTTTGTTCTGTTGCAATAAATCTTCAAAACAGTTACCATTCATATATCATTGTTGATGGGTTATTTATTCCTACCTTAAAAAACTGTTTCATTTATGGATGGCCTCTACCTCCCTCTCCTCAAGATGAGATGTCCGTGCTTAGCCTAGGCCCACAGAATATGCAGTAATGTTCATGTTCACTGAACAGACTTGAGTATAATGATTAACATCAACCTGGCAGTTTCAGGAAGTATTTTGCAACCAAAACTCTGAGTAATTACTTTATAGGTGCTATTCTAGTTATGTTTAAGAGTACTGACATATCTATATTACAGGCTGGTTTAAAAGTCATTCCCCCTCCCCTGGAAGCTGTAGCTCGGCAAGCAAAGCCAAAGTTCTTTCGCAGCTGTTGTTTCTCAAACAACGTACATTACTTTTTATATACAAAGAACTGCACATGGTGAACCTCACATGAACCAAGGATGTCAAAGATCTTCCTTCCTTCTGCAGCCCCAAAGGCCATTCCAAAAGCTACTCTGAGAAGTTACAAAGATTGCTGCCTTTGCTTGGGGCACCCAGTGGCCTGCTACACTTTGGTCTGCGACAGAGTAATCTATTTAGTAATAATAATAATAATATTTAGCATTCACAGCATACTTTCACATATCCATTGTACTTCATATGTATTACATTATTTATTTACTTAAAATATTTATAATCCACCTTATCTTCTTAGACTCAATTGAATTCTTAAGACTGCCCTCCAAGATGGGCAAGAAGATTCTAATATTGGGGATTAAAGGAGATTTGCCTCAGGTCACCTAGTGAGTTTATGACTGAAAGATTTTAACTAGGGAATTCCTGAATCACAGTTTGCCACTCTATTAGCCAGTGTGCCACATCACCTTTCAGACTGAGGGCACATGCCCACATAGTGGCTTAGAGCTGCAGCAAGTTGTTAAAGACAATCGGGATATTTTCTCATTTCCCTGTTGCTAGGCCATATTATGTTGCAAGCTAGCTGAGAAAAACAGAAACTGCCCAGTCACTGAGGGCCAAGTTAGCGATCTCATACCACCACCACCACCACCACCACCCTTGCTCTCTTGAGATACCCAAAGGGGCAGCACCCTGCACAAAGGAACACTAACAATTCTAGTTGCCAACTCTAAGTTGGGAAATTCCTGGAGATTTGGAAGTGGAGACTGTGGAGGGTAGGGTTTGGGGAGTGGATGGACCTTAGCAGGGTATAATGCCAAAGAGTCCCCCCTCCACACCAGCCATTTTCTCCAGGGAAACTGATCTCTGATCTATCATAATTCCAA